TGATCTTTGTTTATACCAAGTAAATTTTATACTCAATGATAAGGAACGACTCCTAGATTTAATTTTCTCATCTTCCCTAAATATTTCGCTTTGTAGAAGTCCTCCATTTGTAATTCCTGAGGATACTTATCATCCAACGCTCCTTTTAAACCTTGAATTAAGGAACACTCTGTCCAATATTACCGTTATTAATACTTTATCTAGTAGGCGAAATTTTGCGAAGGCCAATATACCCCTACTACGCTCTCTCTTATCAGGTTCTATATGGTGCATCAATGGCGATATTGATTCATGTGTTTCTAAATTTTATGAACAGCTCAATTTAGCTCTAGCTAGCTCCGTACCAATGGCAAAACAATTAGTTGACCATGGCCCTGCTTGGTTTACACCTACACTAAGACGTCTACGTAATATTAAAAATAGACTTTTTAAAAATTTCAAAAAATCCAACACTGCTGTAAATTATTCAAAATATTCCATGGCAAGAAATAGATATAATTCGGAAAACTCCAAATGTTACTCTCAGCATTTAGCCCAAATACGGCAGAATTTATTAAACAATCCTAAGAATTTCTTTAAATTTGTAAACTCCAAAAGGAGAGCTCAGAAATTTCCCTCCAGCATGAAACTTGGCAGTAAAGAGTCTTCAGACAATCTAGAAATTCCTAACTCCAGTCTCGTTATGGACACAACCCATACAGGTTGCATCCTTTTTGAGACTGGACTTAGAGGCAGAACCTGATTGAACTGAGTCAGAAAATGGAAACCGAACGAACACGGATGTATGATCTGCTACAACAAGAACAACCCATGGCTCAATAAGATCTACCCGTGTTGTTTAAATGTCGTGCATTTTGATTAATGCAGAGAATTTTGATAAATTGTTAACCGGATTGAGGGCAACACTTGCACGATTAAAAGAAAAAGTCTTAAAGTTAAAACGATCTAAATGTGTATTTTGGTGCAAAAACCATTCAATTTCTGGAGCATATTTTCCATAAAATGGGTGATGACGCATATTCGCATCTTCAGATCGAAGAGAAGTTAGCACATGCTTAAAGTTAAAACGATCTTTGGTGCAAAACCATTGAATCTCTGGGTCACAACATTGATGATAACAGAATTAAGAAAATGGCCGCAATAAATTGCAACTTTGCTGATTTCTTAGGAAACTTGAGCATAGAGTAGTGATATCTCCCAAACTACGGTCAAAGATTCTTCAAGATTTACATTCAGGTCATTTGGGCATCGTCAAAATGAAGGGGCTTGAAAGATCCTTTGTGTATTGGCCAGGCATCGATAAGGATATTAAGGGTATAGCTAAAAATTGTCATAACTGTGCTGTATTTGCTAACGAACCACCAAAGCTCAGAGAACATCACTGGTATTATCCGAAGGGTCCATGAGATCGTATTCATGTGGATTACGCTGGTCCATTTCCAGGAACAATGCTTCTAATAGTAACCGATGCATTCAACAAATGGATCGTGGAAAATATAACGCATACGAGTACATCAGCCGCTACAATCGCAATTCTGGATGAGCTATTTGCTACTTACGGGGTGCCAAATACAGTTGCTACAGATAATAGCACATGTTTTTCTTCAACAGAGTTTAAAGAGTTTCTTACCAATGTGGGTGTTAAGTACCACAAATTTACAGCACCACATAACCCTTCCACGAATGGACAGGCTGAACGTTCGGTACAGTCTATAAAGAATGCAATGAAATCAATGGGTTCAAATAAAATTAACCTTCAAAAACAGTATGCAGTTCAATGCTAACTTCCCCAGCTTCAAGCCGATGCAGAATGTTTATTTGTTGTCGAATAACTGTCGTTGGTTCAAATGGATTCCCGGAGTAGTCCTAAATCGGTTTGGGGACCTACACTACGAAATTCTTTATGATGGCAAACGAATTAAACGAATATTGATCAAATACGACAACGGGATGATTCGAAAACAAAACACAACTGTACGACCAAATCTTCACGATTTCAATACTCTGATATTCGATCACCACTAGATTATGTTCAGCCACCAAGTAAGACTTACACGCCTCACTAAATATTCGATCACCACCAGATTATGTTCAGTCATTAACATAATAACATTGAAGTAGCCATGGAAATGTTTCTTCAATCGCGAAAAAATTTTACACCACAATCAAGTTTTTATGGATTTGACACGGCGGGAGATGAATATCAATGAGCAAAACAATGTGGATGCGGAAGCAGAGTCAAACAATTCAAATCAAATTTCTGTACGTAGCAAAATACGGAAACGTAACATTAGATTTTCACCAGAATAAGGTAGTACGTGCGGGAAGAATTATGATGAAGGAACTTGCCCTTTAATGTTGACATATTCGATATATGGCAACTCTACATAAAATACTCATCTACCAATTTTGAATAAACTGTAACGTCAGTCTTCAGTCTTGTGGAACGATATAACCATATTATCGACGTTGATACCGTAGAACGATATTGCCATTTCGAACTAGACCTTCATGATCATGAACATATATACGTTGGTAGGGTCTAAAATCATTATTTCCATGAGTTACAATAGGAATGACAAACTTAATACACCTGCATACTATGTATGTGTGTTTAGAGGTGTTAGGATTTTCCATGTAGTAAAAATCTACCAACAGTGATTTTAATACTTCGAATAGTTATTATAAAACAATAAATGAGAAATAAATGTGAATAATTGTGCACAGAATTAGATTGATTCTCCAAAGCCTTTCCTCAATCAAATTCAACTTCAACATATGATCTATAACCTGAGCTGGTAATGGTTTTGTCGTTATGTCTGCAATCATTCTTTCCGTAACTGTGCTGTATTTGCTAACGAACCACCAAAGCTCAGAGAACATCACTGGTATTATCCGAAGGGTCCATGAGATCGTATTCATGTGGATTACGCTGGTCCATTTCCAGGAACAATGCTTCTAATAGTAACCGATGCATTCAACAAATGGATCGTGGAAAATATAACGCATACGAGTACATCAGCCGCTACAATCGCAATTCTGGATGAGCTATTTGCTACTTACGGGGTGCCAAATACAGTTGCTACAGATAATAGCACATGTTTTTCTTCAACAGAGTTTAAAGAGTTTCTTACCAATGTGGGTGTTAAGTACCACAAATTTACAGCACCACATAACCCTTCCACGAATGGACAGGCTGAACGTTCGGTACAGTCTATAAAGAATGCAATGAAATCAATGGGTTCAAATAAAATTAACCTTCAAAAACAGTATGCAGTTCAATGCTAACTTCCCCAGCTTCAAGCCGATGCAGAATGTTTATTTGTTGTCGAATAACTGTCGTTGGTTCAAATGGATTCCCGGAGTAGTCCTAAATCGGTTTGGGGACCTACACTACGAAATTCTTTATGATGGCAAACGAATTAAACGAATATTGATCAAATACGACAACGGGATGATTCGAAAACAAAACACAACTGTACGACCAAATCTTCACGATTTCAATACTCTGATATTCGATCACCACTAGATTATGTTCAGCCACCAAGTAAGACTTACACGCCTCACTAAATATTCGATCACCACCAGATTATGTTCAGTCATTAACATAATAACATTGAAGTAGCCATGGAAATGTTTCTTCAATCGCGAAAAAATTTTACACCACAATCAAGTTTTTATGGATTTGACACGGCGGGAGATGAATATCAATGAGCAAAACAATGTGGATGCGGAAGCAGAGTCAAACAATTCAAATCAAATTTCTGTACGTAGCAAAATACGGAAACGTAACATTAGATTTTCACCAGAATAAGGTAGTACGTGCGGGAAGAATTATGATGAAGGAACTTGCCCTTTAATGTTGACATATTCGATATATGGCAACTCTACATAAAATACTCATCTACCAATTTTGAATAAACTGTAACGTCAGTCTTCAGTCTTGTGGAACGATATAACCATATTATCGACGTTGATATCGTAGAACGATATTGCCATTTCGAACTAGACCTTCATGATCATGAACATATATACGTTGGTAGGGTCTAAAATCATTATTTCCATGAGTTACAATAGGAATGACAAACTTAATACACCTGCATACTATGTATGTGTGTTTAGAGGTGTTAGGATTTTCCATGTAGTAAAAATCTACCAACAGTGATTTTAATACTTCGAATAGTTATTATAAAACAATAAATGAGAAATAAATGTGAATAATTGTGCACAGAATTAGATTGATTCTCCAAAGCCTTTCCTCAATCAAATTCAACTTCAACATATGATCTATAACCTGAGCTGGTAATGGTTTTGTCGTTATGTCTGCAATCATTCTTTCCGTAGGACAGTATTTGCAAGGAACAAGATTATTCTCAACGTAATCCTTGACGACTTGAATGTCTGCAAGTAATTTTTCAACCATATAACTTCCTTTCAAGCTTCCGAAAGCGCTCGCTACCATGAAAACCGAAAAATGTATCCCGAGATTGACCTTCAACTTTCGCTGCCCTATTCGCATCGGCGTAGCCGTTCCAATCTTCTTGATTCGGTTCACTAACTTGTTGCACTAAATATGACACGCAAGCAGCAATATCCGGTCTCGAGTTAACGCTTATGTACAAAAGAGATCCTAGAAGTTTTTGATATTTAGCGTTATCCATAAGTTTTTCGTACTGGATCTTTCCATAACCAGGATTATAGGATACTTGGATGGTTATGCCTCACATAAGTCATACCGATGCAACATATCTTTAATATATTTTTTCGAAAAAATTTGATGAAGAATCCTTACAAATTCTAAACATAACTATAAGTTTATGTCTCCGGGACAGTTTGTTTCGAAATTAATAGCCTGTTTAAGGAATTTTGAAAATTGAAAGGTGTTTGGAACTTATTAAAGCGGTGTAGTTTTCTTTTAGTATTAGCATTCTATAACCAAACTTTAAAAATAAATTGACTTTTCAATTTTATTAACTTATGTGCTTTTTTTCAATTTTCAGTATCAAGGCCAGCAGTGGGGCCGAAAAATAATCCAATTCCCACAATGAAACCAAATATATTTAAAATTGTACCTGAAAATATGCAAACAAAACCCCAAGTTGTGACATTTAGTACTAACGCTAAAACTCCAACAACGACAACAATCACATCTACATTATCAACAACAAAAATTACAGATCAAATTCAAGCAATCGCCACAAAACAAAACATGATATCTTTAAAAAACATGTCAAAGACAAATGGTGGCTCTTCTACTAAAAATGTAGTTTTTTACAAAGAGGGAAAACTTTATATTATTGATCCATTGCAGATGAAATTGAAACAACAACAGAAAAAGCAGGTTTCATTGCTAAAGCCTCAAGTTAGTTTACTAAAGCAACAATTTAAACAACCTCAACCGAAAGAAACAACTTTCAGCAACATGTCAACAGAAAAATTAACAGCGGATCATGATTACATGCCATCTCTCAAGACGTCCGTGCAGGTCAATTCCCCACAAGTTCATTATGGCCTAAAGCAGCAGCGCCTTAATACTCTCAACATTTTTCAATTAATGCAAATGAAACGTGTTCTCTTCGAAAAGCATGTTTTACGACAGCAATTTTCAAATATGCAAAATGCTGTAGAATTTATATTACGGAGATTAAAACTCATCGCTCCCGAGGACTCGTTAGTGTCGGCATTTCCATTTGTATCGAAATCTAACGGGGATTTTCAATCCTTAACAGCCTTTAAACAGCGCACACATGAGTGGCTTAGAGCCAAACACATTTCAGTTCTAATGCGAAGTCACAAGGATTTGCAAAATATAAATATCTCAAACCGGGAGACATTTTGGACAACAAAGGAAATAGCTACTTTCGCCCGTCACTATGCTTATACACCAGATATTAAATCATTGCCTAAAATCAATGAACGTACTGATAATAATTGCAAAAACTTTAAAGAGATTGTAAAAGGAGAATTGATGCACAAAGAAACTTCAATAAACGACACACTTTCTGATTGTCGAAAAGTCATAAAGTGGATAGATAAAGTGTGGCCAGTTCTAATTAATTACCAACGTGACGAAGAAGAAAATCAGATCATCGACGTAGATGAAATTAGACAACAGAACGAGATTAGCAATGGAAAATCTACTACATCGAGCTTAGAATTGAAAATTAACTCGGGTTCGAAACATATATATCTTCCACCACCATCTAATTTAAAAAATGAATGTAGGCTGATAACAGATATATGTAAAGATTTAAGTATAAATCTAGAGCACGAAGAGATATGTCCTAACTTATGGTATCCCTCCGCACAAATAGTTTTAGCCCACTCACTAAACATTTTTCTTCAAAAGATTGTAAGGAGCGCACTTAGTTTAAAGCATCAAGAGAAGTGCTCTTTCATTGATCCAATTCATATTATTCAACCGTCTGATATTGCAAAAGTATTGTCTAAATCGAGAGAGTTCGACTTTATGACGAATAGTAACTTTGGCATAAACGCCCAAGTGCACATGTACAGTGTTAAGGAAGAAAAATTATGATATTTCCAGCACGAGTTCATTGCTGCGATAAAAAAGTGTTCCAAAAAAATGCTACACTTTATGTGTGAAATTTTAGTTAGTATTTAAAACATCAAATAATTTTAACGATTTATATTTTTTAGGAAATACAAATGTATCAATTGTGTTTGATAAATGTTCTTGTATATAATTTATGTGTATATGTATTAGGAATATATGTACGTATTTTAATAATAAATCAGAATAAAAATAAGAAATAAACATGCAAAACCCTTGTTTTTGGTTTATTATCTATAATGTTTTCACAATATGAGCTGAGGAGAGAACAGATTTCAGTAAGAATAAGACGACATCTTGTTACTCTCGTGGCAGAATTAAAAGAAGTATGTTAGATTTGTTAAAAGTCGGTGCAGAAATAGGTCCCATATACATGTTTCTCCCAAGAGCCGTAATATGCATTTCATTACAACGGTATAAGGTATAGCCTCTTGGGTGGAGGAGGATAAAAGGAAATTTTTGCTCAAATTTGAATTTTAAAACAAAATTTTACAGAACATACGACACCAAACATCTTAGTGGAAGAGTTTGCGGCTGCGCCACATACAAGGTACATCAGCTGCACTATCTTCAACTAATACAGTTATATCTGCAATGTTTTGTCCTCCAAGTGTAGAAGCGCTTGCCCTTCAGATGTACGACATACTTTTTATGGACGTTTTTTTCTACCTCCTTAATGTTTTGGTTGTGTTAGCCTAGTACATAAACGCCCTCTACCTGTCAACAACCTGATGTTGATCGAATACCTTTGTTAACAATTTTTTTTTAACTGGAAGGGAAGTAGCGAGTTAAAGGTAATACCGAGGTTTCCATTTCAATGAAAGACATATTTTCGTCCATTTTGTTTGTCGTCACTCCAGGAGTCTACATCGAGAGGCATTTCATTGGGAAAGTGAATCATTTTTGTTAAAAGTAAAAGTGCCAAACCTTAAGGGAAAGTGGACCGAATACCTTTTTTTTTCAAAAAGAAGTTTTCGTGTCGAGCCAATGCGATAGTCATTATTGGAAATAATTAATCTGATGTGAGTTGCGATTTAAATTTTCTTTAGTATTATGCTTATTTCCTTTGCATATTTCATTTGATCAAAACAGATAACTCTGATATTTACATCAGAAATCATACATATATGATCAGAAATTATGAACTAGTAGGTGAGCTGTCCATAATTTCTATTGCCTTGTCTGCGATTCCATTTCTATGATCATATGGTTTCTCTGTGGACTCTTCTCTAAGTTAAACACTGTACCGGTAATAGCTTTATTCTCCCATTTTTTTTGTTACAATGTTTTTTAACTGCAATGTCTTTTTATTAGAGTTCTGCCAGCTAAACACCAAAGCTTTTATTAGAATACGATACAAAGCATAACGCAGAAATTTTAAGCAGAGTTATCATATCATCGATCAGTCATTCTCCTGTCGTTTTGCGTGTTCGATCGATTCTGATAAAACTACATGTGTTCGTTGTGTTACAATCGCCAAACGTTGACACCATGTGCAGTCTGTTGCTAACCGGTGCTTATAATCATTTCTGAACAAAGTTTCAGCAAAATCCATCAGTGGTCCGAGGCGAAGATTTGTGGAGTATTTTACTAGATATAGTCGTCCAAAGATCATGAGAGTCCGGAAATACACGAACGCAGACCAGGAACTGTGGTGGCCAAATTGATTTGAATCTTGTTAAAATCATATGCGAAATACTATAAAATTCACAAAATCAGCTACAACAACAACTGAGTGAACTATAACCAAAATACTTAAACAATATTAAACTTAAATATTTTGCATAAAAATTAATTTAGTTTACTAAGTGAATATAGCTCTTAAAAGGATTAGTGATTAATCTGAATTATTCTAAAAAAACCATTACAAAGAAGTGCAAAAGAATTTGTAAAACGTGTAAAAAACCGAAAAAGTTAATACCGTTGGTTTTGCAAATCATAGTCTAATATCCAAGCAATACTACATGATAATGATCATGTAATTAAGATAATTAAAATGGCGTTAGCTTGGGTATCAGATAATGATTACAGTGAATGTTTCCTAAATTGGCAAATTTGCATTGATATTAAACAAAGAGAACATCAACATTCTCCTATTGCAAAACCAATGAAGTTTTATAACAGTTTGTGATAGTTCTCTTAATTTAACAGAGCACCATCAAGATCGATTGCAAAATTTTGTATTACTCCATTACCAGCAGCAGCAGCGCAGTCACCATCATAATCTCTGCGAAAGTACTTTCGTCGTGGGATCGTGAGAGTTGAGTGAGTACTTAAATGATTTTTTTTCCTTTTTGATATAATTTTGCACGTATGATATGATATTTGAGTGCCCATGTTCAAATTTCTTTCTTGAACAGTTATTATTTGAGAAACAAATTTGACACAAAAAGTAAACTATTCATTCCCAACATAACATTTGGTTTTCGTCACCAAGTCAAAAGTTATGTGAGTTGGTAACCTTAATATGGTCACATGTTTGCTGTTGATGAATTTAATGACTTTAACAACAGCTCAGAAAAGTATAGAGAGAAAAAAGAGAACAATCATGAACGTGAATGTAATATATGAGTTCTTTTGTAAGTCATTTATCTATAATTTCATTCTTTGTTTACATTTATTATTATTGTTTTTGCACCCTACCTTAAGCATAAACCTATTTTCATTTTTTTTTATTCAACTTACTTACAACTTACGAATTACTTTAAGTGCTTTAGTAATCCTTCATTCATAATATTTATCAACTCATAAATAGTTTCTACGTTTATTGAAATTATTTATCCCATTCTATTTACATTTGATAATGTTGTGATTTCTATAATGCTGACAATAAAATCACTATTACCAAAATAGAGTATTTCCACTTTTGCATCTAGCGTTAATAGGTATATCAAATTTATCTCTTTGTTAGATATAAGTTTACATTTTCAAATACATATGTATATTTTTATTGAAATTCAACATGAATTCTGAATAAACTCCTGAAGATAATCTGATTGATTCTTTTTAGTCGTTGAAGAGGTTGGTAGTGTTATCATGGGGTCATATATAAACTCTCTATTGTGGGCTTGTTTGTTTGATTATGACAATGGATGGGAGGGCAATTACAGTAACAAATATCAGCATGTTGCTTAAGACTTTTGATATCTGCTTTCTCTTACTTTCTCCCATATGCTTTCTCTTCTCATCACATGCACCTATCTGTTATATACCTTTTCATCTCTATAACTATCTCTTTCGATCACCATATCGGTATAAAATTTCCGTTTCCTGCTCAATCTATGTTGCTTTTCTTCTGATATTTCTTTTCTTTTGCACGCACAAAATAATTGAATTTCTGTAGCACAGTGGTATTAGGTATATTCATGCCCAAAGAACCCCCCCACCGACGAGCCACAAGGCCGAGTAATATGCGTGCAGGTATGTATATATGCCACAATGTCATCTACCACAATAATGTAAACGTTGTATGTTACAGTAAAAAATTAAATGGCGCCCAACGTGGGACCCGAACATGACATTTTCCGAAAGGATACTTTTGCAATAACATCTGGCTTTATACCTCATGTCTTTCGGCTCCAACCTTTTTTTTCTCTTCTACAATTTCTACATTTTCATTCTTATATCTTGCGAGACATACCCTCGTAATTCGGATTTAGTTCATGGTCAAATATGTTAATCCTTAAACTACCAGTACTTACGCAAGTCTCGTTGATGACTTCATAGTAGGGTTTTGTTGTAATACAGCATGCAATATTTGGAATTTAGCATCTGGATAATAAGCTAGATCTAACCACAGGCATATGATACGGCAATACCTTACCCTTTTATTCATTAGTTTGGATTTATAGAGTGAAATCATCTATACCAAATAGTGACATCCTTGCTTTTATATTCTATTGTCTATGTTTTTCTATCAAAAGTCTTAGTATAAAAAGAATCCCAACCTTTGAAGACACTAGAGAGGTCAATCAGATCTATCAGCTATAGTTTTTTTGGTGTACCGAAATCTACAGAAATTAATTATCGTTTCTTTTCATTTGTACATTTGCTCACAAGGGTACATTATGTCTCAGGAGATAGGTGCAGAAGATTTAGCCACTGAGATGGGTAGTGAGACTCGTCTTACATGTGGTGCGTGTGCTAATATAATCACGACCAGTTCGCAACATGTACGTACGAATTGCAGTCACACATTTCACAAATCCTGTTTGTCGAAAGTTGTAAAAATACGTCCTTACTGTCCTGTGTGCAACACACGTCTTCTTAGTGAGCCTCCTACGCCATCGGGTTCAACGACAAGGTCGCAAACTAAGGCTCAGAATGTCGCATCATCAAAATCTACGGACAGCTAACATGCACATCCAGCTCCTACTGTGACTCAGACACCCACAACCGGCATTGGGAATCTTCTGTGTCCGCTGACGATTTACAGGCAATGATCTCATCGATAGTTGCCACCCAGCAAGCACAATTATTATCGAGTCTCAGCGATCAGATTGCGAGACTTGTGCAAACGAATTTAGACACAAGATTATCTCAACTCAATCTGAATGGACAATCTGTTTCTCCGGCCATTGTGCCATCGCAAGCACACCAGACTTCTCCCAGACAAATGCAAACTTTACCGGCAGTCGAAGAAAGGACTTTTCGCGAGATGTTTGGGATTCCTTTAAATAACTCAGGAAGTCAAGGGCAATTGAATTCTAGTCGTTCTGGTCCTTCTTCTTCCGCTTTAGGTTCTACATCTTCCAATAGTGCTTCGTCTGATCTTACCTCAAGGCCAGACAAAGTGCTACATATTATTACAAATTGGAAAATAAAGTTTTCTGGAAATGTTAATGGGTTGTCTATTGAGAACTTTATATATAGAGTGAAGTCACTCACTATTCAGACATTGCAGGGAGATTTCGATCTCTTATGCCGCAATGCCAGCTCGTTGTTTGAAGGAAAGGCAGCCGACTGGTTTTGGCGCTACCATAGATCGGTACCTTTAGTGTCATGGAGAGAGCTGTGTAGGGCTTTACGCCAACAGTATAGTGACTCAAGGACCGACATTGATATACGAGAGCTAATCAGGGATAGGAAGCAAAACCGAGGAGAAAGTTTTGATGCTTTCTATGAGTCCATAGTTGAGTTGACAGATAGGTTGAAAGAACCACTTTCGGAAACAATGTTGGTAGAGGTGCTCAGGAGGAATTTACAGCCTGAGA